CAAGCATAGTTCACTCACTCTTCGAGACCCCAACAATCATTCAAATATAACTTCAGTCCTTGCAGTTCCGTAATTTTTGACTTGGCTTTCGGGTATTCATGAATATCAATAACGCGACGAAATTCTCTTACTATGCTTTTTATTTACAAAACTTATTTTATCATAATTATATTGACTATAACTTCACACCTTACAATGAATCATTTCTACTTTTATTAAACGACCTGTCTACTTTACCAATGACACTTTTGAAGTTTTTAGTCCGCAATAGGTGCCAGTATTTACCGTTTTAAATTATGACATTGTTTATTTTACTAACATACCTTATTTTGGTTCTTGAAAAATAACACAATAATTATGAAATCATGACTGCAGAGCTAGATGACTAAGTTATAAAAAACAGTTGTTCGCTCAAATTTACTTGTTTTTTGAATATTCTGAAATATAGATTTGTCTAGTAACTTATCTGAAGAAGTCAACTAATGCGGTTTTGTGTTCATTATTTGACCAGTCCCATTTTCAATCAATTACAAACACCAAGAATCATCCACGTTTACATCCTTAAACACACGATGTTAACTCGGAAATTCTAACTTCAACCTTTCATTTGCATCTGTCAAAGGCTCACCATTATAACAGTTCTATGTTAGAATATTCCAGATCGAATGCGTTATTGTTTATATGTGACTTGATTTTTACAGTAGAAATCTGTAGAAGTTTATATTTTAAAATTGACCAATGACGTCTAGTGATCATTTACGTACTAGTCAGATTGATCTGTTTCAGTTTAAGTGAAAGCGTGCGTTGACAAGTTATTTTGTTTTTACATTAGTAAAATGGCATTAAATAATATCTCTGTCCTTACGATTTTGTGAAGCTTAGGAGTTATTTTAAGTATTGTGGTTGCTTCTGACATTTGTGTAGATTGCCCCAAGATAAATAAGAGTAACTTAAAAATGAAGATTATTCTGAGAAAATTATTCAAGTAAGAATGCACTCGAAGCATATAATAATTCTGTTAATTGAAATCTATGGATAAACGAAGATTGATACATCTCTTCTGGACCAATTCTGAGCCAAATAATCTAGCGTCCCCAAGCATTGAACCCACATGCATCTTCCAAATAATCATCACTTACCTGCCTGTCTCAGATCTACAGCAAGCGGCTTCATCAATCAATATTATGTTCTAACATGACCTCCATTGATTATCTTCCAACGAACTAAGCCAACTAACATTATTTTGCGATAGACAGTGGTCAGGCGTACATCGCACATGTCCTATCACAGCCATCTTCATCTTTCGAACACTACCTTCATAAATGACTAACTACTGTAGTACTTCCCGAACAACACACTTAGTGCCTACATCATTCTCATTTAGTAAATTAGTCATACGTCCACACATAGATGGTTAGCATACATAGAGTCATCATCTAGAAAATAAAATGAAAGCTTTTACCGAGTAGTTCTTAACAGGTTAGATGTGATAAATCGTCCTTATTGTCCGTTGACAACTATGACTATTCACTCAGATATCACAGTTACAACAAATTTTTGTGATTGAAATTTAGTGTAATTATCACTTCAGAATTAAAATTCAAATATTTAACTGCATTACACTGCTGAATCATATTTTCAGTGATACGACACTTGTCATACAGAGCATCGAATCCGATTGACTAAGTACTTCATAATTAATGAACTTAGATTAGTGAGTGTGCACCGTTTGATGAATAGTTCGGATATCACATTTTACGTATAGTTGCAATTATAATGATTATACATCTTTGAAATATACAAAATATCTTTTGAAGAAGTTAACAAGTTCATGTATGAATGATTACTTTCAACTCAATCTAATATTCAGTCCGCAAAGAATTCAACAGTATCGTACTCTTTCTTTTGACCAAGTGAATTTCGGAGAATCAAGCAAATCAGTCAAGGCTTAATCGATTCCATTGTTTTTATCAAACCAGTTAGCATCGAAAAACCTCTTATTAACGATATTAAGTTAATTGTGATGTATGATTGAGTTCTCACATGAGTACTGTATTAGGTTACGCCCATACTCTTGAATGCCACGGTAATGATAAGAATATGAAAAAAAGAGCAGAAATTTGCTCCGGTTCTTCAGGATCGATCGAACTATATGCTGGATAGGTTCAGTGCCAGAAAGTGATTGATTTGCTAAAAGCAACAGTCGTAAAAACTAACTGACAATCCCATCTATTTGTACTAATGTGACATGACAGCTCGAACTGATGTATGTGCATACTTAGTTCTAAGTTGTAGTCGACTGACTCATTGACTGTACTCATTGATGCACCAAGTAAGAAGGAGGTTTTGATTGTCACAAGCAGATGGATTGTAGGCAAAAAACGTTGTTTATAGCTCTCCAACTTTGAGGATATGCACCTGCAAAAGTGCTCAACCAGATGACAACTGGTCACTCATTGAGTTCAAGGCTACCTACTGCTGTAGTGAGCTACCTGTGCACAGACATTCACTCCCTCCAGACAGTTTGCAGACTGAGAACAAATTATTGGTTCACTTGAGTAAATTGGCCAGTCATGTGATTGACCACGTTAACTTGATATTCGACTGTCAAGTTTGCATTTTCGTTTGTAATCTGAAGAGGAACTGAGAATGTTGGATGCATATTTTCAATGAGAAGATATGAGAGACTAATCCGTAGATCTACTAAATCTATTGGATTGTTTTTTCCTCATAATCTCTTATGGCACTGACGTTCAGTTTCTTATCGTCGTCCGTCACAGAAAAATAACTTGCAATATTATGCAATATCACAATGTAGGGGTATTTGCACGATCTGTGGGATAAACTGCAGAAGCGTCCAACAAATTAGTCCTGTAGTGTATGCAGCGATTAGAAATGATAACCTCTCACTGGTGTTTTGTGGGTCGAGAGTTTCGTCAACGAGCATTACCGTAAGTCCCGATTTGTTTTGGCAGTTGTCTGAACAAATACGGCAGCACAGCTCTTGTGTAAATGTTCTTTTTTGCATTTCGAATAGTTGCACTAAGTTTCCGAAATGCTGCCGTTTTAGTAAATTGTTTCATTTTAAACTTCTTTGCCTCATAAGGCTTCCTCATACAATGCATTTACTTTGTCACTTACATTTATGGCATTGAAACAACTCGGGTGTATGTAATGAAAGCGTATTTGACTTCGACGGTTCTAGTGGACACTATCTAGTTGAAGGCACTCAGTCACGCATCTGCACCAGATCACTAGTGAGCGCACACCTGCTTAAGGTAACCGGCAAGCTTAGTTCAGTTACTCCTCGATATCTCAACTTTCATAAAAGTCTACCTTCGAACCTCTACATTCCTGACTTTTGGGTTGACTTGGATTTTGGTATTCTCGATCCGAAAATGTTACGGACAAAAGTGCTGCTCAGATTTGAACGTACATGTTATCATCAAACGGCTGCCTCATCAATAAAATTAATTATACTCCTAACCACCGCCTATCATAGCATGATGTTGGTTAGGTTGAAAGAAAATTAATGACGACCAAGCTAGAACATCAGATCATGAAATCTATTAACATCCATGTCTTTTCTCACTTGGTAAACAGCAAAACTCATATGAAAATAGTTGAAGCTTTTGCTGATTTGCATTAAGTTCCAAACCATCTATGCAAAAGGGATAGATTGAGGCTCCTCTATATGTCTGAATCCAACTGGATCAACTCCAAAAATTCCAATTAAACAAGCAATAGAGGTGAGTGAAGCCTTTGAGTTTACTTTACTTCACGACTGGGTCACTGTATAGATAAACTGGATATCGACCCCCCAAACTGATTTTGTTGTTTTACCTGCTCTGATTGTTTCTTGATCCAGACTTCCATGCATCCTACATCACATGATATTCTTATCATGATTACTTCAGCAAAACCCGTTTCCTCCTATTGAAACAATGTTGTTATTCCTATCGTTATATTTATTATTACCATCTCCATTAATGAGACGAGATACTCTCACCATGCACTTTTTTTACACAGTTTATTTTATTATCATCATTTTCTGCTACCGCCCAGATATCTTCTTCCTATAGAGACATCTACTAGAGACCGCGATGATCAACAAATGCACACAAATCTTGATTCGACGCTTCCTAGTGCTGACAACAGACATGTGAGATATCAAAAGAATCGAATTTCAGAATTCTAAACGACAGTAAGAAAAAATAACGGGAATGTTCCGAGGTGATTGTAATTATCTTGGACCATTTTGCACAGTAACTGAAGCGTAGACGAAAGGCTGGATTAATAACCCTTATGGTGTTCTATACGTTTGACCTGCATTAAACTATCTAACAATTTTCTAAACTGCATGATTCGTGATCGTATGCAATGTATTCAGCAGTATTAAGATAATTATGTTACGTCATTCTGTATTTGACTTATGAAATTTCGCGACATGATCCTTACCATTAAATACGAAATACATAAGAATTCTATGTAACTTGATTACTTAACTGTTACGCGCTTACAACTTATCGTGAAGAATATATACATCGATCTTATCCCTTCTTTGGTCACATTGAAAATCCTCAGACATTTCTGTCCACTTGTTTATTCAGTCCTGCATTTATTTTAAATAACATATCTCTTGTCTATTTAAATGTAAGACCATCTGTCTATGTCCATCCTACTTTTCCAGCTTACTCGTACTGGGTATTTTCGACACTAATTCCACTCTAGATAAATACGGTGCGGTGAAACATGCCTAAAAGTTTATCCTATCACATCATTCTTGTCATTGTTTCGCTTGGAAAAGTTCTATGCACATAACCGTCAACAAGCTGTCAGATAATGTTCACCAAAACGATAACTGTTCACAATGTAACCGTTTTAGTTTTCCAGCGAAGATATAAATGTAAAATTACCACAAACCAACTTCATGATATCTCAAATACTAAGTAATGGGAGACACACAAGAACGAGGTTTGATCAAAATGGCGATTGAATTAAAATGTTTATTTATTTGGTTAGATATATTAAAATTTGACCCAGTGAAGTTCAAAATTCACGACGTCTCGACTTTTTTGAACCAAGACCAACAGCGAGTCCGATACCGAACAATGCAGCTGCGCCCAAAACAACACCCCCAACAACTGCCAAGCCATTTACGCAATCTAAAATTAAAGATATTAAAAACTAATTAGTTCGTCATATGAACTGTCGTATCGAATTGAACAAATTTGAGATAAACCATTAAAGTATATCTGTCATTGATAGATAAATATGCACTGGTAGACATTGAGAGTTAGCGAACCACCTTAGAGGCATGCTAAACTCTGGTTGTCTGAGACTTAGTTTTCCAAAATGAGTTTAATTAAATTGTTCATACCTTTCACAACACGTTCGATTTCTTCGTTTTGTGCTCTTAACTTTCTATCCAACTTGTCATCACAGTAATTGTGTAACGATGGGTGTTGTCGTCCATGATCAGTTTCGCCGTTTTGATTAAATGTCTCTTTTTCGAACTTTTCGTCATTGTAAGGGAGTGATCGTAAATTCTGTAAAGAAAATTGTTAGATAAAGTTCCCCAAATAATTGTTTTAGCTGCATTAACCTTCAGTCAAAAAGGCGAAAAATCTCACTTTCTTGATTCGGTAATACTGTCTGAGTGCTTAGTTGGGTATTAACTAAATTCATTGCAGCACGAACCTATTTCAGCTTTGTTACTACCTAACCATAGTGTATTCGTAAACGTTTCAACTTGAAGAGGATGAGAAATCTGAATTGTCTTATGCGGCTTGTTTTGTTAGTAACATGTTGAACTTATTTCTTCCTAGATCTATTGTTATAATCTGCACACTACAATATGTAACCTCATATACCTGAACTGCAAAACAAGATCGTGATGAATTTCGATGTGAGCGAGACGGCCTTCTAATCAGCATGATAGAAAAACCATTGCTCTTTACTCTTCTTAAGTGTAACATTTGTTTCTCTCAAAGTCTTGAGAACCATATACTGACAATTTAGTTAACTGTCACTCAATTGCATCGAGTATCTATCTCCCACATGGAAACTTAAGTTTAACTTATTGAAGTTTATTCTACTTCGTATTTAGGGTAAGAGGTACTGCTGCCTAATAATCTGCTTTTGCAAGCTCAGCATATTTTCGATCAGATTATCTGGCGAAATCTTGGTGGTGGAGGAGTTGCTTCTCTACATTAGGTAATTATATTTTGCGATAGTAATTGTTTACTTATCGTAAACCGTGGCTCAACGAAGAGGAATTGAATTCCGTCTATTTAACTACAGAAACTCATACTTGAGGAAATGACATTTCCGATTCCGTCACGACAATAACGGTGTGAAGTTAACACTACAAAGAGAGAGACTCACCTGTATAATGCACTTGTGACACATATTTGCAATTTGTCAGAGAGCATTTCCTGGCTGGGTATTTATAGTTTACTCTGTCAATTTTGTGTGTTTGTGAGCAGCTTATCATCTCAAACTTATCGTTCCACTTGTCAAAGAATATTGGTCAATGGAATTTTAGTGAGAGGGGTGGTAATGATCTGACTTTTTAAATCCTAACCAAGTACGATGAACACCGTCGTTGGTATCGTGGAGGCTGTCACTATTTTAAATTTTACTACCCCCTGGAGATCAGTTCATTTGATTGGTATTTGGTAATATTGTAACCTAGACAGTTGAACCAATGAGATGATTATTTATCTGGTGAAAGAGATTTGGGAATATCTACCAAGGTTCCAAACTAATTCTCACATTAGTTCAGAGTTAATAATGTAGGGTTTTAGTATGCAGTTTCTCTTGTAAACTTAGTGTTAACTATTGTTAGTGGTTACAAATAGGTACAATGTAGGATTTATGGGGAAAATCATGCCCCTGTGAAATAACTACCATCATTTTATCAATCGATATCTGCAAAAAAACTGAATATACGGAAAACTAGTTGGAAGTAACCAGTATATGAAATGACATGATAACGTGACAAAAATACCTAGTTAGTTGTTCGATGTGACTGAACTATGGTGAAGTGAATTAATTACACCAAGTGTTAATTGATTGTAAATAAACGCCCCAGTAAGAATCAGTTATGCCTGTTTAAACTTATGCCAAAGACGTTTATGAGTGGATGGTGTTGATGAGACAGATCCCAAATTTTTACAAGGAGGGAGATTTATAATGATATTTGAAGCGATCAAGTTTATTTTTCTTATTCTACGGGGGTTGTCAGTGTGCTTCTAGTAAAATTGGAATTTATTGTTATCATGGATACTCATAGTTTGACAACACTTTTGTCCGTAACAATCGAGAATACTCAAAGCCAAGTCAAATCAGAAGTAAGGATGCAGATAGATTTGCATGATGGTTGGGATGTGGATGAGGTCAGCATCAATCTCGACGATTTACAGAGCACTTTGTTTTGTGGAGTATTTTCGTTGACTAGATCAACGTCTTTAAGATATTGAAGCAGTAGTTTGAACGACCTAATTTATACAAGTTGTCCCAATGTTTTTAAGACGGCAAGAACGAAGAATTGAGTATGAATTCACTTATTTCGTAGGGTTCTTATCAGCTGCTTACCATCTAAAGTATTTTGAAAATCAAAATCAATGTAAAGTTTACATGCATATACTTATCAGTCCACCATGAAGATACATACCTTGTTTTAGTATTGCATGCAAACTTTGCGACAATTCTGATGTTTAAAATATTCAAGACTGTAAGGCAGCTGATGAGAACCCGACGAAATCAAACGAATTCATATTATTTCGTTCAATTCTTTGTTCTTGCTCGCTTCAAAAATAATGAAAGGAACTACATATAAGTTACTTCTATTTGCCAAGAGTACATTTGACTACCATCATAACTGTAATAAATGAAAATTTAATTTTCATAAATACTTCATAATAATCAGATCGGTTAATGAAATTTCATCTACTCATCTAAATTCTAGTGAATGGGACTTAGTTGTTTGATTGTCATTGTCAGTAGTTTGTCCTACAAAATTTAATTTAGTTTTATGCGAGCGAACAGAATACAATGTCCTGTACGTTTTCTTTAACTTTACAACTAACGAATGTTGTTAGTATTAGAGACCCAACTGACACAAAATTCACTCAACACTCGTTAAGCATTTTTGAAACAGACTAAATTTTGACCCTACTGGGTAATGTGAAGCCAATCATTTTAAAACTAACTGTTCGATTTGAGATTCTTTCAAGTAATCCTATATATTTTATTGAAATCATGAACCGATCAATGTTAAACCACCAATGGAAACATGAAAGTACAAACTTCTTATAATGATAATCCTATATATATTCTTCCCATTTACATGTCACCGCCTAATCTATGTTTCCGACTAAATATTACAAATTTTAACACATTAGTATTGACATTGTAACTGACGACAACCATGATTTTTCATCATTATATCTAACAATCAGTGAAATTTAAGTACATTCTAAAAGATTTATTAGACATTCTATGGGAATTTGCTGAATGATCGATCACCATTGTGGCATTCTCAGTACAAAAATAATGTCAACTTACATGTAAATAAAAATATGGCATTTATGTCAGACAAATGATGAAAATGATACGAATGGTCTGTACCATCAAATAATTAGTATTCATCAACAAATGCGTCTATTTCTCAAAGTAAACCAGTTACAGAACTCATGTCAAGTAATAATTATTTATCTAGATGCATGTCGTAAATAAGTCGAGTTGCATACAGAAATTCTCAATCATAGATGCGTAAACCACACTACGGTTGAACTCCGCCTGCAGCCCCTCTGGGGCTACTGCCGGTGCCAAGCCCGGATAAAGGAGGAGGGTTCAACATGGGGTTAGTGACCATATCTCGTAGAAAAATAACTCGCTAGAGAAACGCTAACCAGAAGAAATAGTTCAAACCATTTAAACTCTGCCCTGGCAGTTAGAACGTCTTCATTCAGAAGAGTTATGACATCTCATGATGAAAGCCGAGTTCCTTAGAAAGTCATGAGGTCGATGTCTCTTCTGACAACCGGAGGAACTATTATATTAGATACATGGAATGATCGTACAGTGTGGGAGATCGGCAGAGCTATCCACGTTGCTGCAGAAATGAAAAGATACAACCTCGAGGTGCTTGGAATCAGTGAAACACATTGAACAGGTTGAACTTCTAATACTACTACAGGAGAGTTGCTCTTATACTCCAGCCATGAAGAAGAAATGCTCCACATAAACAAGGAGTCGCATTAATCCTATCCAAACGAACACAAAAAGCACTGACACGATGGGAATCTCATGGACCAAGGATCATCAAATTAACCTTCAAAACAAGAATGAGGGCATCACGCTAAACGTCATCCAGTGCTATGCTGCTACCAACGACCACAATGTAGACATCAAAGATCAGTTTTACGAGGCTGCAATCAATCGTTGGGAAATGCACATCAAAGGACTTGACCATTGTGATGGGATACCCAAATGCGAAGGTTGGAACAGATAACTCCGGATATGAAGACATCATGGAACGACAGGGACTGGCGGACAGGAATGAAAACAGTGAGATGGGCGATCCTATGTGCCTTCAACAAACTGGTCATTGGTGGTAACATATTCTCACATAAACACATACACAAATCCATATGCATTTGCCCGGATCACACCACACAAAACCAAATCGACCATACCTGCATGAATAAAAGTTCAGAAGGACCATGGAGGAGGTGAGAACCGAGAGAGGAGCTGATATAGACTCAGATCATCACTTGATGGTCTCCAAGACGAAACTGAAACTCAGGAAGCACTGGATAACTGGATGGAAAACATCACAAAAGTTTAATGCGGCCTTTCTTCGGGATATATACAAACCATTCCACGAATTCAAGATAGCCCTCACAATAAGGTTCCAGGACATTCACGATCTACTCACTGGAAAGGAAGCTATCATTGAAAACAACTAGTAAGGTTAATCATAAGTCTAGGAAGAAGCTGTGGATCTCAGTAGCATCTACTGAACTGATGGATGCTCGAAAACTCATCCCGTCTGGCTCTGAGTGCGATGAGGAGCGGAGTCACCTCAGGCGCAGGCCCATAAAAAGCCTACGCAACGATCGAAAACAGTGGTGGGTGGCGAAAGCGAGGGAGATGGAAAAGGCAATGGCGACAGGCAACAGTAAGCAACTATTCAGACTCATCAAGGAAACTAGTATTAGGAATCCTAGTGTAAGTGAGACTATCTCGGAAAATGATGGGACTATTATTTATTCTCAATCCAGGAGACTGGATCGATGGGCAGAACACTTTAGGGATCAGTTCAACTGGCATTCAACCACACTTCGGTTGACCACGATCTCCAGTCATCGTGAATGGCAAGTCGACGTAAGTCCCCCGACTCTTTTTGAATTTGAGGAAGCTATAAGAAATCTGAAGCGAGAGAGAACAGCACGACCCGATAGACTGACTCCTGACATTTTTAAGGATAGTGGTCAAGTTTTAGAACTAGATTGACTGAAATCTTAGGAAGAATCTGGGAACTGGACGTAATCCCATCCGACTGGACTCAATCACTGATTGTCCCAATTTATAAGAAAGGACAAAAGTCTTCTTGTGACAATCACAGGGGAATAAGTCTAACTAATACAGTTTCTAAATTGTTAGCCTCCATTATACTTAGACGCCTAACTAGGGCTCTTGAAGAGCAGAATAGAGAAAACCAGGCTGGTTTTCGACCTGGACGTGGTTGTATAGACCACAGCTTCACATTACGACAGGTCCTGGGACACAGACACATTCACGCGTCCGACAACAGTTGTCTTGCTGAACCCTAAGGCGGCATTAGAATCTGTTGATCGTGAGGTTCTGTGGCAGTGTCTGTCATCGAGAGGTGTACCAAAGAAGTACATTAACCTTAAACAAGCTCTCTACTCTAAAACTACTGGTCGGGTTAGAGCATATGGCGAACCGTCATCGGAATTCTTTACTGCAAGTGGTGTCTGCCAAAGATGTCCACTTTCTCCATTCTTGTTTAATTTTATCATAGACACGCTCCTAGAAATAACCTTATCCTCGTCTGAATTTTAAGGAGTAGACCTTTTACCAGGAGGCTCGCTTATCGACTTAGAATATGCCGGTGACATAGTCCTACTTGGTGAAAACACTAACAAAATGCAGAGTCCTCTGACCACTCTAAGCAACAATGCAAGCATGTTCGAGATGCGGTTTTCGCCCTCGAAATGCAAAATGTTGCTTCAAGATTGGGTTTCATCGGCACCTGAACTAGTGATAGGGAGTGAAGTAGTCGAACGTGTAGACCGCTTCACTTATCTGGGGAGTCTCGTCAGTGCTGATGGCCTGGTGACTGACGAAATCTCAGCACGGATACAGAAGGCTCGATTGGCTTTTGTCAACCTGCGTCACTTATGGCGTAGACGAGATATCCGTTTGCTGAATAAAGGACGAGAGTACTGCGCAGTGGTTCGCTCCGTCTTACTTTATGGCTGTGAAACATGACCAGATATTCGTAGGTTGCTGGTTTTCGATCATAGGTGTCTTCGAAGCATTGCTTGTATATCCTGGGACAACCAAGTGAGTAACGCTGTTATTAG